CATCGGATGGAGGAAACGTGGTGTAGGCTATGGAATCGGTGTTGTCGGAGTCGAGAGAACAGCAACGCTGATGGTGACGCTGGCTCTGGTATGACCTCCAGTGTTGATATCGAAAAAGGTGAGAAAAAGCGCATTGGTAACAACAGGGACTTTGGCTGTCATGGTCAGGTCCAACTCTTGCCCCTACAGCGTTTCTAGCTGGGGTTCTAGATTTCGAATCCCGACGTTTGCGGATTGAAGGAGTTTTACGAGTTTTTTCCGATCAGTATCAGACGGATGCCGGAGCAGCAGCTTAACAAATGGGCCTCGGACAGCCCGCGATGCTGCCCTCTCGTTCTTCCTGTCCCTCCTTATCCTTATCATTTACTGCACTAGTGCCACTACATGTCGGAACTCCTGGAAGCTTAGATCTTGTCCAGACGGGGATGGTACCCCGCTGGCAGAGAAGTGGCGGGGGAAACTCCGACGTGTAGAACGGCACCGTATCTCACTCTCTAGCGGTGGAGGAATACATTCCTCTCCCAGAACACGCTAACGATACTAATGAGCATGGCAAACGCACAAACAAAATAATCTGTCAGTCAACAATGAGGGTGGAGACGGGACTGGCGTTGATCGCGTTGGCAACATTGGAGGGCGAGTAGTGATAGCGAAGCGTGCGGTAAAGGGTCGTGAGCGGTTATAAGGGTAATGGAATGGGGTGTGATCGCGTCGGTTGGCAAGGCGGAGACTGAGCGGTGGATCGGGGAGCTCAAGAGCAAGGCCGCCGGAAGTGACGCTCGGGACAGGTGGCGGTGGTTGCAGCGAAAGCGGCCGTTATGGGGCGGGCGAGGGAGGGGCGCGGGGGAGAGAGTGCGGGCGGAGGGAGGAGGAGGTCGAGGACGGCGTCGCGTGGCGGGAGGCTCGCGGGTGGGAAAGGAGGAAAGCGGCAAGCAGAACATCTCGGACGCGCGGCACGTAGCGGAAGCCCGCGATCTTCGGGCCGGATGAGGCGGTGGAGGAGGCTGCCCGCGCACGCGCTTTGTTATCAACGCACGAGCGGGTCCAGACAAGTATGGTGGGATGGAAATGTTTGCCTAATTCTAATTGTAATAGTATATTCATTTACTAAATAATTGATACACTCTTACATTTTTTATTTATTATTATTTATTATTTATATAATTAACCCAGCTCTAACTGTGAAACGCTTATTTCACAGCATGGCACAAATTATTCCTAAGGGATTCATTAATTCAATAGTTGAATGATAAAACGGTTATCTGCAGGTGATTCCTCTGATCAATGCCAGATGAAAGCTGGAGCAGAATCCTAAGAAAAAGCTATGGGCCGTACGCAATCTTTCCTTCCTCTTTCTTTCCCTACACCTTCCCAATGTTTTACACACATATATTATACTTATGTTATATAGTTCTGTTCCACGCATGTCGAGAGAGCAGACGGGAGCTAAGAGTTTGTCCCGATTGGGACAATCCCTGGAGGAGGAAATAGCCCAAAAGGCGACGTGTATGTCGGTGCCGAATCTCACCATCCAGCTGAGGGAAACATCGCGACCTCCAGGAAAAATCTTTCACTACAGTAGCGGGACAAATGGCCATAAGAATTGACGCCTCCAGAAACATCAAACATCAAAACTGTTGTCTACGTGCAGTGAAGAGATATTACCTATAAAACTCTGACCAATTGTGATACTGTTCTGTACATTTTAGATTCTTGCGCAAAGGAAATACATTGCTTTATTGAGAGGGGGATTCTTCATGCTGATCTTTGGATCCCTTTCTGGTGATATATTAATATTTAAGGTTTAGTTATTTTGACATTATCATTTTCACTCTGAAAACGGATAATGAAAAAAAATGGCTACTCAGGATATTAATGTTGATACACTATTATTTTTTGTATTGTTTTAAACATTTGTAGCATTTTATATTTTAAACTAGCTTGGCACAATAATCAATTTAAGCATAATATATTAAATAATATGTGATTCTTGTACAATTGTGAATATTAATTACTTGAAAACTATGTGATTTTTGAAGAATTTTCGAATATTGTTTCAAAAACGACCAAACATATTTTTGTATTCATTTGCACCTGTATATGGAGAAAAATAAGGATCTGTTCTAATATTCATCACCCATGAAATGAACTTATAATACTGGAATATTAATTAAAGATTTATTGAGAAGTAAAATTGAGTACGGTTATTAAACTTCACTTACAATCTCAGAATCAGTAAATTTCCTAATTTCTGATGCATGCGTTTAGTAACAATAAATATGCATTATTGGGCGTACTTCTACGTTTTAGAGAACTTAGATTTCTCGGTTCAAAAGCGACCAAATGCGTTTCATTTTGGTTCGATTTTAAGGTACACATTTGATCATATTTCGTTACAACCAATGCTGCTGTGTTTAGTGATATCTCTAATATTTCTTAAATTACCATACATTCGAACATATCTGGCGCTGCAGTTGACACGAAACCAATTTTCAAATCGCCTCTACGCGTTAATTATTTCAGAAAATGTATCGAAACATTTCGAATAATTCTTTGGGAAACAGATGCTTCGGTAGGCAAACTAACCTTCTGTGTCGGACACTTTAACCCAAACTTTCCTCAGCGTCAGCCGCATCGCAGCTGGGGTGGGCCCGAAAGGGGCGGGACCGCAGGGAGGGGGCGTGGCAGGAGGGGGCGTGGCAGGGGGCGTGGCGGACGGCGCTGTTCCCAACAAGTTCCCCGGAGTCCCGCTCTCCGAACAGGCGCTCCCTAACGAGATCAGCATTTTATTCGGTGCCCAGTGTCATGTGTGTATTTATAATAAAAATATTACCCAATTGTGAGGCGGATCGGAGAGCCAAATTTTAAACAATGGCTATGTCTGAGCCAGGTAGTAACTTTCCTTATTAGAAACATGTTTTCGTTGCAATGGATTTTTTTCCTCCCAGTGACAGTTTCCGATAAGCATCTAAATTAAAACCGTAATAGCCAAGTAAATACGTTAAGCTAAATTAAATGTTAATATTTATATTTTTAGGTGTTGCGTTTGACAGTGCTATCGAATTATACCGCCGTGCGGTGCTCGCCCCCAACCCCCAGTAGCCTGGTTGTAATTAACACGATATATTGGAATTAGCTGACCGGCCGCCGCCGCTGCCACCACGGAAGCCGTCCCCTGTGGAGAGCGTCTCTCGGCGAGCAGCCCCAACTCCCTTCCCCACTCCCTTCCTCCGACCCTTCCCCAATCCCTTCATGTTGGCCTCCCATCCCTGCTCCCTTCGCTGCCTCTCTCTTCACGGCTCTGTGGATGGCGGTAGGCCTTGTCTGTACTGTTTCCAGGCATCAAGGAACCTATTTTAAATTTTTATGATAAATGGTCTAATAAATAATAATAATAATAATAATAATAATAATAATAATAATAATAATGGATTCCAATTGTCGAAGACCATTTTATTAATAAATTATAGATTGTTAAAGGATTTATAACACGTTTTGTCAAACAAATCGTATACTCGTATTAGAACTTTACCGTCTTGGAGTTGGATTTAAATGCAATAATAATTCATAGCATTACTTTCGAGATCGGAGACACG